CTTAATGAACAGAATGATTTGTTCTAATGGTGTTTGTAAATAGGATCTCAAGTCCACATCTTGTACAGCAATTAACCACTAAGAAGAATGTATGCAGTGTGTTAATTATTGAAACTGTCCTAGCGATTTGATTTGAAACTGTCTCATTGCTATTTGTTTATCAATAAAATTATGAAAATAAAAAAGAAATGATACCCCATCTTCATGGGAGCCCCAGGTGCCTGCGATTTCAAGTATTTTTCACCAAGACAATCTATGAGTGGCTTTCCATTTCTCAATATTGGCCATAGATTCCTTAAGCTTCCAGTTACTTGGAATTCTATTGGAAGCCAACTCCAGAGGGTTTGGAGGAAGCTACCTATTAGAGCATCCCCCTGGGCTGCGCTGAGCTGTACTGTAGAATAAGCCTTCAAGCCTTGGAGTGTGGAGGAAACCCGTCCTGTGAGGACAGATGAGAGCAAGCCTTGCAGAAGGTCTTCCAGCCTGCGTGTCATGGGCTGACAGTCAGAAGGGTTCCCCACGGGTAGTGATGATCTAGAAAGTGTGACAGACTCGTAGAAGATTAATCCAACCTCACTCTTGCTGCATAGTTTCACTATTAGACCTGTGTCCTAGCCCAGGGAGTCACCTTTTAAGACTGAGAAGTGAGACTAACAAGCAAAGAACCTTCCTGATGTTTGGAGGAGGAGGAGGAAGAGGAGGGGGAGGGGGAGGAGGAGGAGGAGCTTACTTTGTAGTTCAGGGTGGCTTTAAACTCACGTTGTAGCCCCAGTTGGCCTTGAACTCAAGGTGAACCTTCTGCCTCAGCCTCCCTGGTGCTGGGATTACAGGTGTACACCATCATGTCTGGCCTTTGTTGAACTTTTATTTTAAAAAATAGTATTTTTCCCTCAAGTCATAATACCACTTTCTTGTAAGCATCTCACTTCCTCTGCATTTCCATCTCTGTAGCACACAGATAGTGACTGTGACCCTCAGGACGATGGTCTTCATGCAGCATAAATAGGTTCCCAACCCTTACTGTGGTCCAATTAGGAAGGCAGGAAGGTCCCTAAGTGCACTCTGCTTTTTTAAGCAAGTATAAACACTTTAAGAGTCTTCCTACATTCTGGCCCCGCCACCGGGGCACACTGAGACAGCAGTTGAGATTGGGTGTGGTGGCGTGCACCTATAATCCCAGTACTTGGGAGGCTGTAAACAGGAGAATCACTGCAAATCCAATCTAGTAGTGAGACCCTCAACACCCTGTAGACCCTTCCCTAAAATACAAAAAATAAATAAATAAAAAGAGTCTTCCTAGCTCTGGGCCAGCCCTATAGCTCAGTGGACTAAAGTGCCTGTTTACACATGTGCAGGAATTGGGGTTCTATTATTTTTTCTAAAGAAAAATAATTATTTTAATAGCTGCTGTCAAGTTCGATCCCTGACACCTCATGCCACACTGGCCTTGCCCTCAGGCATGCTGAGCTGGCAGTGGAGTCTGGGGATGGTGACACACACCTGTAATCCCAGCACTGAGGAGACAGAAAACAGGAGGATCTCTGAGTCAGAGCTGCATAGTGAGACCCTGCCCCAGAAAAAAAAAAAAAATAGCTGCTGTCAAGAGAAAATGCTGGGGGGCCTGCCCCTTAGCTCAGTTCTTTAAGTGGCTGCTTCAACAAAGCAGTCAGGCTCAGGTTGTGGTGGTTCGATCCCCACAACACAAGCCAGCCAGTCATGCCTTGAAGGCATTCGGAGCAAAAAAACACTAAAAAAAAGGGGGCTGGTGAGATGGCTCAGTGGTCTAAAGCACCTACTTAGAACAAGCTTAGCAAAGTACAGGGACCGCGGTTCAGTCCCCCAGCACCACATGCCAGCCCTGCCCCCTGGCGGGCTGAGCTGGACACACACACACACACACACAAATAAATAAATAAATAAATAAATAAATAAATAAATAAATAAATAAATAAAATTTTTAAAAAAAAAAAGAAAATACCAACGAGGGTGAAACTGACCCAAATTAGCAATTAGATAAATCAAAGGATTATAGCACAAGAGAAAATTAGGTTCCCTTTTCATAAATGCCACAACTCTACTAGAAGCTGAATAAATGTGACTACAGCTATGTATGTTTTGACCCACGGCCCTGCAGCTGTGGCCCTCACAGAGCCGCCCTTTCTGCGTCCCTGTCTCCACAGCGCAAATCTGTCCAAGGCCGCATGGGGAGCCCTGGAGAAGAACGGCACCCAGCTGATGATCCGCTCCTACGAGCTTGGGGTCCTCTTCCTGCCCTCAGCCTTTGTGAGTTTCCACTTCTGTCTACTTCACCGAAGTTCACTTTTCTGGTCCCTGCTTTTAGTCACAGTGATATGCCCAAGGTCAGCAGGGGGTGGGGCAGGATTGCAACCCAGAACCCATGCTCTTAATCTTGGGGTTGTGCTGAGAATTTAGTACTCATCAGGTGTAGTGGGCTGCCCAGTTAGAGGTGGACAGGTGAAGTCACTCAGAACACTGAAACAACGGTTGGGAATCATGATGTGTAAATGGTCAAAGGGATGCCCTGGCCGAGCATGTACATGGTAGGTGGGTGTGATTGGAGGACTCAGGAGGCAGAGGGCTGGAGGAGGGCAGGGCTGAAGGCCAAGGGATGAAGAAAGAGTCGGAAGAGCATCACACCTGGAAGCAGGAGGGCAAAGTGGAACTGGGAAGCAGAGAAGCTTGACTCATTGGCTGGAGCTTGGGGGTTAGCAGAGGACCTGTGTGCTGTGCCTCTGAGTCCCTGGAAAGGGGCCACCCTGCAAGCTGTCTCTCAAGGTGGCCAGCACAGATGCTCATCTTCCAGTTTTGGAACAGCACATAGTTTCTGCAGCCCAACAGCAGATGAAGTGGCCAGCTGCCATGTGACGACCAGCCCGTGCAAGCCATATGTTGCTCTAGACACTAGAATTACTCTGGTCCGTCTGGTGAGGGGTGTCCCAGCCCCCACCACCAGGAGGCATGGGTGCCCAGAGCTCCCGCCCTGCTTTTCCTCATACTCAACAGTGGAATGCGAGAAGAAGGGCCCACACATCGAGATGGCTAGTCCTTTTTTTCTTGCTCTTTTCCTTTTTATACTACTTGCTGTAGCTAAATATAGTCTAAGCACGTGTGGCACAGCTTCATTTGAGCCACTTTGACTGCAGCAGATCTAGCCAAGAGACCTTGGACTTGAATCTGGACCCACATGCACATGGACATTCATAGTCCCAGGTGGAGGGCACCTCCTCCCAGCCTCCCCCACAGGTCACAGTGCTCTGTCCTCACCTTGCCCCCATAGGCAGCTCTTTCCTCACGTCTGATCTCTTCCCCTTGCCAGTCTTTATCCATCCTTCTACGTCTCACAGCGCCCTCTGCACGTCTGTGTCCAGGCCTGTTGAGGGTGGAATTATGCCCAGCCCAGCCCATTTGGTTTCCTTCCTACAAAATAAAATGAAGATGTGGTCTCAAGATCCAAGGTCTCATGATCTCTTCATGATCTTCCAAATTTATCTCAGCTTCTGGGAAACAGCCCACAAGTCCAGGATAGCAGTATTCAGAAATGTGCTGGCTATTATTATAGTGGTTTGGGCTAAACTAAGGCTAGAATAATCTCCAGCAGTAACTTTATTATTTTTCGGTTTCCAACAGTAGCTTTAGTAGTGGGAAAATTCTATGTCATTGTAGTTTGGCTGTTGTTGGAAGGATTTGCAAAATTCTACTCTTTTGTAACTATTCTGCCCTGATCCTTGATAGTGAAAATGATAATAGGAAAGAAATATGCTGCCCTTTCATATCCTGTGGATTCTTCTCGGGTGCCAATTTTTAGCTTAGATATTTATTCTGTGTGCCCTAGAGAAGGATAATGGGGGGGCGGAATAGGAATAAATGCTTAAAATATACAAATTGATTTTACATTGGCCTTTAATTTCTACATTTTTGGAATAAGAAAAAGCTCCACTATAGCACACTTAAGGTAAAGTTGAAATTCCATTATTTATGAAAGCCATTGACAAGAAAATAAAACATGGATTCCACCCCATTCATGTTATCCCAACAGATGTAAGAGAGGAGCCCTAGCCAGGCTAGCTAGATGGTTCAGTTACATTTGAGATCAAATCTGTTGTTCTAAATCTCTAATAGATATATCAAATGCAGTGTGGTACTCGCCTAATTCTGTGGCCATTTATATATTTTATGTTTGCTTTTTCTATATCTGCAAAGCTGAAAGAGATATGAGAAAAAGGAAGAAAAGAATGAAATAGGGAAAGAAAAAGACAAATAGGACTTTGCGTATATGCTGGTTGTTGGCTATCCTAAGAAGTTCCTTATAGCCTTTCAATGTATAAGTTAGTGTAATTCACTGTTTTAAGTGTATCAAGTAAAATATATGAAGTCTGAGCTGGGAAGAAAGAGAGGGAGGAAGGGAGAGAGAAAAAAAAAAGAAAAGAAAACTGAGCAGGGAGTCCATTCTCCAACAGTGTGCTGGCTGGCCTTGAGCTACAGAGCCTGGAATGGTGCTTTAGGGTGGCTCCCTCTATATCACTGGTGAGGACCCACAAGCTGTCTTGTCTGCAGCCACTTTCCTGTCTTCTGAGTTGTCCTTCAGTTGTCCGAAATGACTTGGGCAAGGTGCTGAAGGTAGGCATTGTGACGAGTACCCAGAGGTGTGTGATTCATAAATGTCAGCAAAGCACCCAATACATGGACAATAAGAAAAGAGGCACCTGAGAGTGGAGCTGAGTGCGAGGACGCAAGGTGAGCGTCCCAGGTGGGCGTAACCTGAGGCGAGAAGGCCTTGGTGTTCTTTCAGTTGCTGTTTGCACAGATAGCAGCTTAAGCCCATGAAAAGAAAATGCTATTGAAAAAATGCTGGCAGAAGTCATCAAATCAAAGATGTTGTTGAACAGCTGAGCCTCGGCGGTGGGGCTGGGCCAGCCCTGGGTACTTCACAGCAGGCCTTCTCCCGGCTGCTGCTGTTGCTGGTTGGCCCTGCAGCACAGAGGCTGACCACTCGGCACTTCTGGCGACTTCTCAAGCTTTTAATAAATGCTTTATAGAGTTTCTGTATTGATCATAAACTTACAGTGTGCTGACAAGAATGCGGTTTGTTGTAAAGTGAGGCAGGGTATTGTTTCTTTCTAAGTTTCCCCTCTTCAGTATCAGTAAGACAAAGCTTGTGATGCTTTTAGTTCACAGTCCTCCTTCAGGCTGGACAGCATCCAGAATCCCTTCTCAGGACCGTCCCCTTCTGGCCCCTGGGCAGAACTCCATGTCTCTGCCACCCACGTTTCTGAGTTATCAGCACCTGGAGCTACCATCTTTGTCCTTCTGCAGAGGCTGAGGCCAGCATTACAGTCAGGATGGCACAGGCAGTCAGCTAGAGGGACCCCTGCAGTTCACTTGCAACAGCCCTGACCCAGGGCTGTCACTCGCAACCAGGTAGCCAGCCGCATGCCATGCCATTTGCTCAGACCCAGCAACTGTGGTGGATGGAGAACCAGCTTGTCCCATTCGTAAAAAGATGCCTTTTAAAATCTCTGAGGTTGATTTCAAAGCTGGAGTCCTGGATAACTGGAAAATGACCTGTGCCCATTTCTTATCCTGCTTTTGTTTAGTGAACAAATCCATAAACACATTCCCTCAAGATCAACCAAACTGGCATTTAGAGCAGCAGTAGCTTTGCCTTTGTTTGGGACAGTTCCAAGAGTTTTGGAGATTAATATCAAAGCACATTTAACTTTGTGTGACCAGCATGTGGCACGGACTGGATACCTAGTAAGCTTGCTGATTTAAGCCAAAGACTATTCTTTTGAGGTCTGACGTCTGCTTACCAGTTCTATAAAGTTCTCTGGATTGTTTCTTCCTATGTGTTTAACTTTTAGATTAGACATACACACCTGTGGAAAGTCTTATCATAGGGGAGATCTAGTGATTTCAAAGCTCAGCAGCTGCACTTCAAACTCTAACATGTCTGTGTGCATTCAGGGACGTGGAAGTGTTTCTCCTAGACATCATTCCTTTGGTGGTTATTGAACATGCAGCACGCTGTGACTTGAACTCTTCCTGTGAACAGTGCACACAGCCACCGTAGAATCGAGGGTTGATGCCCAGGAGGTAGCCCTAGGACACCTGCTCTGGGCTTAGAGTTTCTTCAGAACTCGAGGTCCTCTGCTGCCCAGATAGCTGATTCTCTGTTTTCTGGGGTCAGAATCAAGTATGAGTTAGATCCCCAAAAGTCAAGTGTCTACTTGACCTCAGTGGGTCACATCTCTGGTTTCCCTATTCTGTTTACACTGTTCCTCCGTTGTTAAACTGCTTTTTGTCTTTTTGCTCTCAGAATGGCAGGTGTATGCCCTCTTCTTATGATGGGGGCTACAGAGAACCACAGCTGAGCCCAGGCGGACCTCTTTGACCTCCTTCCCCCAGCTGAGATCCTTGTTCTCTCCTCCAGCACTTCCCTTCCCTTCTGGCTGGGAGGAGTCCACAGCTGGGCAACAATGTTTCACAAGCCCTTGGCATTGTGCTACATCTTCCACTCAGCTGACAGCCTCTGGCCTCTTTCCCTTCCCCCAGTTCCCATAACCTAGCTCATCTGCACTGCCAAGAACCTCACTGTCTTTTTCTTTCCCCTGTATTCAGGTCCTCCCGTCGTCTCACCTCAGGTTTCTGCTCAGTGCTTTTTCCACCCACATATGCTGGTCTGTACTCCGGTGCCCTTCAACCCTCAATGGATCCCCCCTGGCCTGCGAGATAACATCCATATTCCTTTGTGTGACTCTTAAGGTCCACCAAGAGCGCTTCCTCTCCTGTATTCTTGGGCTCTAGTTATTTGTTGAGCATGGGTTGGGTAGCAACAAGCCCTTAGTAATTGTGTCATCTTGGTATACTTCCCTTGGTCTCAGCCAGAGGCACTGAAATAACTTGTAAGGAGATGCAGTGTGGGAAAACACATGGGGCAACCCTAAGAACCAGGAAAAGGAACTCTCCAGAACACCAGAGTTGAAGGACGTAGGGACCTGAGGTCTACAGGAACCAGTGACAGAAAGAGGATGGGCTTGGACATGAGACAGACCAGAGCCATGGTCCCACTTAGCAGCTGGGTAATTTTACATCGTAGGTCTCATTATGCTCCACTGTCCCATGGGGGCAGTATAGTAACTAACTCAGAATTATGTGAGAACAAGAGGTAGGACCTGTAGAGGGTTTACAGCAGTGCCTGCTACCTAACATGTGCTCAGTGGAGGCCGTGGTTGACAGCAACAATGGCAGCAGCGTGTACAGCC